GTCATTTCAGCAAACATGATGTTTGGGAATACTCAAAGACAGGCTGCTTTATCAAGGAATAACGACAAAGAGGAATGTCGAACAGGCGTTTACTTTTTGATAAAAGTCAGCTCAGTCCCACATCTGCACCAGAGACTAATCAAGTGACTTGTTAAAATCATGTCCTCGGTTTCCATTCTTAAACCAGTTGTTTCTCTTGAAGCCTCCAACACCTTGCCTCCCATTTCCAAACCTGGAGAACCCTCGTCCTGCCTCCTGGGGGTACTCTTCCAGCTCAGGCAGTTCCTTTGCCACCGACAGTTGCCAACGCCTGGTGTCCCTCCACTGTTCCTGAAACAAAACCAACATAACCAGACGTCATGGGTCTGCAGGTGTGTCCAGGGTACACTGCTGCCTTCAATATTGCTTTCAATGGTAAGGCATTTCCAGATAAATCCCACCCGTACCAGCAGACCCCTCCTGGGAGACAACTCAGTCCTGTGGCAAAGTATAAACAATCACAAAAGGACAAGAGGGAGTGAAGTCAACAGAAAACTGGTGAACTCAAATACACTGGAGAGGTCAAACACAAGAGTAGCCAAAGAACATAGGATTTAGTTTAATAAAATCAAGTAACATAAGAAGAACTGAAATAAGAAAGAGACATGACAGGGTATTTTCTAATGACTGTGCTCTGCTCGTTCTAATGACTCTGTTGTCTATGCAACATCCTCATTAAAACACAAACCTTATCCTCCCCAACCACCCTATATTCAATCCTACATATGGCAATCACATTTCAAATCACCAGGTTCTAAAGCCAATTCTGGCTATAAGAACTTACCTGTATGTTACTTAGCTCGCCAACAGGGACATCAAAGCACACCCCCTACAGCAGGAAAAAAAAAGAACCATATGCTTTCCAAAGACATATCCAAGAATGGAGACACACACAACTCCAGACAGGCACCACCTCCAACCGCTTATGCACACTAAGCATAGAAACCAGGAACAGCAGAAAGCATGGTCTTTTGGGAGAAGCTTTTTATAAGCTGAAGAGAAAAGCAGTTAAAACACAAAAGCTCAAAACAAAACACAGATTCAAATGCTCTGTGTCAACAGCAGTGTTGCCTGACATCAGCCTGTCTGTTTAAAAGTAAGACAGGCATCATCTCACACCACAAGCTCTCCGAGAACATGCCTGAAAAGCAGACAAGTCATGTCACAGGCTGACAGTCAGATGAATGCCGTAATGCTCAGGTCAGTCAGTCACTGCTCTAATCTATAGCGGTCTTTTTATTGTGGTGGTATATAGCATTTGCATATAATGAAAAATAAAGGTCCAAACAAGCACTCCTACTACATACATATTTCTCACGACCCACCCCTCCGTTTTTTGTTTCGGGGTTTTTTTTTTTTTTTTAGGAAAGAACTGCATTATCATTTAGGAATAGAATCTCCATCCAAATAAGAGTCTTAAAACACTAGCTTTGATGCTTTTTATCTGGTTTTGTGCGGGCTGCTTTGGCTGTTTGTTTGGTTTTGAATAATGTATACATCAACAGCAGTTTCAGGGGGGTTCATGAAAGGTTAACGTTTTCTGAGAAATGAGACTGAGTAGGGATAGAGTGAGGTATCAACATTTCTGTACTAATATTTCAGAATGCCTGCCTCAATCACTGCAAAAACTGGCCAAACACACCCACCCACCCTTCTTCCCCAAGGCTGGGCCATCTTACCATCTTCCCCTTGAGGAAACGCATTGAGGATACTTTGGAATCTACTTCCTCACCAAGCTGTTCTTTTAGTCCTCGCCAGGCATAGCTCATTGTATGCATTGCTATTGAACACTTCAACACCATAGTCACGAAGCCCTTCAGGAAACAAACAGAAAAATGTTTGTAACACTAAACTTGGTTGGACAGCCTGTGACTCACTAACCCATGAACTACGCAATAAATAACTTGTTATTGTAATGTAGTATTTAATACTAAGAAATCAACTTCCCAAAAAGTGAAGTAACCAAAATCCTCCTAAGAAGTTGAAGGCATCCATCTCACATAGGACTGCCCATTTACAGAAAGGCCAAGAGCATTTCTGCCAGAAGCAGACACACATTTATTCAATACATACAGTAAGTTACCACTAGAAAACAGGTAAAAAAAGCCCCAAACTGATACAAGAAGCATAGTCCAGCCACATGCTGTTTCCAAAATTGCGTTACCACAACAAACTAGGCCAAGTTCTCCCTAAATGCATCAGAAAAAGGAAGGGGCACAGTTTTCTTCTGTCAAGTTCTCTTTGAAATCAGGTAATCAAATACTAGACTTGCTGAAATATAGAAATGTAAAAGCTTCCTGAGAAGGGAAAACTACAGTAACACAAACCCATCTATTAGCTTGTAAAACGTCAATAAATTCTCTTAGACCAAAGTCTTTTGTCACTTAGATCTCTAGAGAAAATTTAGAAAACTTTAGAAAATTTACTGATTTCAAATTTTTCTGGTTTCTTGTATAGTACCAGTAAGAGGTGATTTCAATTAAGGAACAAGCAACAAACCAGAAGCTGGGGATAAAAGCTACTCAGAAACCCTACTGAAAGAGCCTGAGAAGATGACGCACTTGGACTGGATGCAAGCAATTCATGTATCCATTTTTGTTAACACAGGTATAATGTTATTTACCGCAGTTGAGTTGAGTAAGGAGCGCTGCTGTATGTAAGATGCCCCAGAAATATGGGCTAGAGCTGCAGCCAGGGCAGCAACTGCCCCTTTTTCATCTATGATCTCTTGAGCAGATTTTCTGAAGTAGTCTACTGCAGAAGGAGGAATGGCCTCCAACAACCTACATGGGTGACAACAGAAGTTTAACAGATCAGCAAAGGCCTGTATGAAGTGCAGTCATGTTTTAAGACACAGACAGCTGTCAAGATTAACAAATTATCTCTAAAAGCTTTGCCCAGCGTGCTTCATTACCACTCCTTTAACTCAACACCTTCAGGATGTTGAATACCCACATTCTCATTAAGCTAAGCCTCTTGAAAGATGTGTTCAAAACTGAGGATGTACAACATGGCACGTTTGACAGCATTAATAAAAACATCAAGGGAAGGCTCTAAAATATCAGCATTCTTAAGGCTGTACCCTTGCTTTTACTTCACAAGCAGGAAAAGCAAATCACTACAATGCCACTGCTGAGCTGGGGCAAGGCACTTCTTGCTCTCAGTGCAAGCTGATTAAATAGTTTATTTCTGAGAGAGACAGTGAAAACAAGCTTGAATGCAGAGAACAGCTACTTCTCTAATGCTATTTGTGGTACACCAGCACCTCCCACCATTTTTCCGTATGTGGTGAACTCAACACTGTGTCCATGGTCTCCTTTGCACGAGTCAAATCCTCACTAATTTTAATAATCTCTGTCCATGTTATTTCCACCAATGGGACAGCAAATGTAAGCAGAGCCACATGGAATAAAAAAAAAAAAAAACAAAAAAAACCCAAAAAAACCCAAAACAAACCACCCCTGAGAACAGAATGATACAAAAAAACAGAGGACAGGGCTACAACACCCTCACTAGGGCAAAGTTAACTCCTCAACATGTCAAGTATTGCTCTTTACACAGTGCTAGTGTATCATCTGAGTGGACAAAATAAGTTTCCCTTTATGACAGTAATTCCTTGTTCTGCTATTGATTTTTGAGGATATAAACAAAGGTTAATTTTAGCACGAACTCAGAGAACATAATGTTCTATGGAAACGTCTATGTTCAAGCACACAGAAGTTCATCAGTATCATCTCATGAAAACAGACCAGTTTTGCTACATGCAAAGTAACTGACTTAGAACCTAAGTACATATGCTCACATACATGTCTGCTCCCTTAAAACTTTGCCTTAACAGCACTGTTGTCGGTAACATCTCTAGACATCTTTTAAGAACAGGCAAATAAGCTTACTTTTTGGCATCATTACTTGAAGCTTCAATTACATCTGTAGCAGAGGGAACACCTACACGCTTAAATGTAATCCCCTGAAATTAAGAAAATAAATTACAGTTAAAGGTATGTTTAGCACTCTACAACTCAACTCTATCTAAGTCACATTGAGACCACTAGTTATTGTTTATACCATCAACGCAGTCCTTACCTGTTATTTCTAAAGCTAGAATAAAGCTTTTAAATTCCTTCCCTTGTTAATCTGGAACTATTTACACCAATATACATGCAGACTGTAATGCAAGGCATGGTATCCTTCATGCATTTGATACAGTCTGTCTCCTGACAACAACAAAATGCACAGAAAGACTCATGACGCATTAGAATAGGCTGATACAAAGCATTTTCAATCACCAAATATCAACATTTTAGGCCTATCAGTCAATAGGACGAGTTCTATACTGGAGTTCTAAGTAGTAACCCATGGTTACAAAGTCTAAGAGTGGCAGAGGCTTTTAGAAGCTGAGTAATTTCATTAAATAGAGGTCTGAGGTACAACTCACCGCTTTGTGCTCAACTTGTTTTAGAAGATCTTCTTCTCTTCTCTGAAATAAACAAATGCAGATCCCAGTCCGGCCAGCTCGACCTGTACGTCCAGAACGATGAATGTAGGAATCAACATCCTTCAGAAATTCAGATTAACAGAAGAAAACCTTATGTTATTTAAACTGTTTACATCTATATATTGGAAGAGAGAAAATGTAAGATAAATCCTAATTCAGAAATCTAAGAAGCAATACATTAGGTGTCTATACCCAAACTATGTATGCACCACTCAGGCATGCATGTACTACTCAGCCCAAGATGTGCTGTCTCAGGTTTAACAAATATTATTGCCGTAAGCAGGGGGGATGTTAATAAAAAAGCTCAAAGGATTTTCAAGAAGAAAAAGGCATTTTTTTTAATACTGTAGAACTGCTATGAAAACAATGTTTAAAAGGGATTTAGAAATGCTGAAACAATGTCAAAAACTACCCTACAACTTCCCAGAGTAACCAAAGCCCATCACTTTTACTTTACTCAAAGCTCAAAATATAAAAGCTTAACTAAGAAATTCTAGTCCTGCATTTACAAATAATCCACTTCGTCTGTGAATCAGACCAAGCTTCTGGTGAAAGAGAGAAATAACCCACTGTTCTGTCACAAAAAAATATATTACAATTTTAGTTTCTCCATATGACTTACTTTTGGTGGTGAACACTGTATAACAAGGTCAACCTCAGGAATATCCAAACCACGGGCAGCTACATTTGTTGCAATCAAAACTTCAAACACACCATCTCTAAAGCCTTTTAATGTAATTTCTCTCTGTTTCTGTGGAATGTCACCATGCAATGACTGGGCATCCTGTCAGTGAAACAAACAATTAACATGTCATTTAACAGTGGAATCTAGACATTAAAGTACAAATCCCAAAATATCGTACAGAGCAAGAGAAAATAATAGCTGATACCAAAGTGGTTTTATCCTTTTCTGGGACAGTAACGCTCATAAGCAGTAGTTTTACCATAATGTCATTGTTTGTAGCATACCAGTCTGCCAAAAAGGGCCCACTTCAGCTTTCACTTCCACTGGAACAAGTTGAAGCAACTTTACTTAAACAGTGCTTGTCAAGAGCTACCAAGAGACTTTACTCCCTTCCATAGGAAGCCATCCTAAAACCCACAAAAGCTTAAGTGAGTTTTCAGGGCATGCCCGAGCCCTGCGGGTGATCTGAACAACCTCCACTTCTAATGAGACAAGAAACAGATCAAGTGTTTCACAAGGAGAAAGGGGAGAGTCACAAGCTCAGAATTCAAGTAAGTAACATGCTAAAGCATAACTTACTAGTACAGAAGAAAAACATGTCATGTATTGACACAAGAACAAACTAACAAGATTTAGTGTGAAAGCAGCAGGGCCAACAGACTAAAATTGTTGCCACAAGATTTTAAAGTGGATTATACACGACATTTATCCAATTCTGAGCAAACCATGTATTCTCACCATTTCTCTTTCTCCATAAATTAGCATCTAGTATCAAACAGGCTTTTCTCTAGGAAAAAAAAATAAATTCCAGCACTTTTCCCAATACTCAAAAAAAAAAAATCCAGTAGTAATTCAAGTTAAGCACAGAGAACCTGCTCAGTGTACCACCTGAGTTCTGAACAAACTATTAAATGACCTTCCAAGCGCAACAAAACATTCCATTCTATCACATTACTTGATCTTCCTGGGTACTGAATGCTCAGATAATAAACACCATTAAGAGATGGGAAGCCAAAAAGCACACTAACATGACACAGACTGTCTGCACTATACCAGCTCCTGTTTATTACCATTATTACTATCTCATGATTATTCAGCATAAGCTGCATATTTTCCATTGATTCCTGCCCTTCAAGCCAAAGGAATAAAATTCATAATCACAGCCAAGAAGGTATTTTAACTGCAAAGATCTACTTTTAGAAACAGCTGTCAGAAGTCTTAAAACCGTGCACAGAAACAACTCGACCCATACAGTTGCAACCTTGTCTTTATTTCAGGGCATTCAACCCCTGAATATCCCTAACCACTGCTCTCTGTTCAGACACCAGTACCTGTTTGAGTGAAGCATTCATAGCCAGTTCATTTGCTTCGTTTTTGGTCTCACAAAAGACAATGGTCCGCCCATGGCTGCCACTGTAGACTTGAATGATATCTCCCAGAACTCCTGCTCTCTGAGACGAGCGACACTGTATAGCCAAATGCTATTTGGGAAAAAAACATGATAACCATCTATGTTAAATCTAACCCACACACAAGACACACAAGATGAATGCAGAAATAATTTTTTTTAAAGCTTGCAAACTACTACCCCCATATGAAAGCTTTCCTTAAAAAATGCGTGTGCCAGTCATGTGAAAAGTCATTCCACACCCCCATTTGTAATGTCAATGCAGAACTTGCTTCACCCAGGCCAGATGCTCTCAGGACCTGCCCTGCTCTGCAGCAGAATCACTCACTTCCACAGTTGTGGCAGTCCTCTGAGTCTTCTTTCCAATCAGGTCAACACGTTCACAATCATCTTTCATGTATTTTTTTGCTACATCATACACCCATCGTGGACAAGTTGCAGAAAACAGCAGTGTCTGGGGGTTGTTTTCAGAACCTGGAAGGAAAGGCCACCAATTTCAGCCATCACAACAGACTTGAGAACGGATAAAAAAATGCCGAGAGTTGCTCTCAATTTGCCAAGTTTGTATGTGTGGTAAGTCAGCCACAAGAAAACAGAAACGATGAAAACATTTTAATATGCTTTAGACACCAAAGGAAAAATTACAGTAATATGAACAGGACCAAACTGAATCCTTCATCCTGCCTGAGAAGAAATGCAACGCACATTTATAGTTCATCTGCTAAAAATGGTTTATACTGTGCCTGAAGTCTTCCCACATACCTGAAAGAACCTGTCTTGATTCCTCCTTGCCCGATATTCCACTATAACTACATATGAACAGTATAACTACGTGCAAAGGAAAAGGGCAGGCTAAAAAGGACGCTCTGCAGTCCAGGTGAAGAACTACCCCAGGTAAGAACAGTTTAACAAATAGTATCTTGACATAGTCCATCCTACCTTCAGACAGGAAGAAACACACACCGCAAAAGGATTATTTTTTAATTATTCCCTACAATTTATTTCCAGTTATGAAGAAAACTTTTTAGATTAAATAATTATGACAACTCTCACAAAACCTATACAAATTTCCTTTTTTAATAGATCATCTCTATTTTTTGCCTGTCAAGACAAAGAGCAACTCTGCAGAAATGGGGAGAATGTAACAGTCAAGTAAAAATGACAGTGGCTGTACTGGGTCAAACCCAAGATCCATGAAGCTCATATACTCTCTTCAACAGCAGTCAAACACAGTTAAAGATGTGAAGAAACACTGCCAGGAACCAGCTTTCTCAGGCTTCCAGAGACAGAAGTTACACCCTTGCTTTTAGTAATCCTTGATATTTCTACTTCCAGTAATTCAAGCCACTTTTCAAAGCTCTTGACATTAGTACAATGTTGCAAAGAATTTCACACTACTAAAATAACCTCCTTCTGCTCTGCACCTGCTACCTGGTGGCTTTGCTGAATGCCCGCAACATCAGGAAAGAGCAAATATTCCCTAGTTGTCAACTTCATGTGATGATGATGTACAGACATGCCATAATCCTGACCCTACACTCAGACACATCTCTCAGAATGAAGAACACTAGGCCTTAGGGATTTAAGTTGGGTTTGTTGCTTTTATTCCCTCTTTTTACCGTCCCCTTCCTTCCAGAGATGCCATTCCAGCCTTTCAACTATCTGTCACCTTGCTTTGAACCTTTTCCAATTCTACCTTACTCTATTCTCTGAGGTCCAATACCAGCATCGCATAAAGGATTCAAGTTGGGGGTGCACCAGCAGGTTTCAAATTGCGTTTTCTGCACTGTCCCCTGTTCCTCTCCTGATGTCATAATTTACCTTTTTTATAAGCAAATCCTAAGATTTCTTCCACTTGTTCAGCAAAGCCCATATCTAACATGTGATCAACTTCATCCAAAACAACATGCTTCACGCTGGAAAGTTCCAGTTTGCTATTCTGAATATGGTCTTTGATCCGTCCAGGCGTTCCCACTAGAATATCAATGCCACTTTTAAGGAGATCAACTGGAAGAAAGAGAAAAACAAGCAGTGTCAGTATGCTAAGAGACAACAAGGTAAAAGGTTACCAGTACACAGCAACACTTCTAATTTTAGAACCAAAAACCTACTGCACTTCACGTTAATCTCTGAATAAAGCACTGCATCCAGGCTGGGTTACAAACAAGTAAGCGTGATGGCAGTCCATGTTGCCCTGTCAGGAATAACAGCTAAACCACAGGCAAAGTTACAGTAAGATGCGCCAATTTCCAAGCAACAATCAGCTAACATTAGAAACCTCCGGAGCTTTATTACCGTAAAAGACTCTAGTTTTTCAGCTAAATTCTTTTTTCCACAGCTACCTCTGGAGAGAGAGCTGCACACATACACAGTTCTCTTTTCCTTGGACAGTCGTCTAGTCCCAGTGTATGTCCACACAAAAACCACACAAACACACAATAAGGTAGAAACTAAAAGGACTAGTCACTTCACAGACATATAACCATCCTTTTAAACCAAGATTTACTGGAAGCAAAATAATTTAACACGGGTTGCATGCTCCTGTTGAAAGCAGTATCGTGGTTCCCGACTGAAGTGAAACTGAGGGAGAAAAAAAAACTCTAATCCACTACAAATTCCCTAGTGTTTACTTACTCTGTTCTTTGTAAGGAGTTCCTCCATAAAAACAAGCCACTGACAGTTTCTTAGTGAGATTCTTGAACTCTTTGGCTACCTGTGTGGCCAGTTCCCTGGTTGGAACAAGAACCAGCACCTGGAGGGAGTGAAAAGAGACAAAGTGCAGCTGTGGTTGGGAAAGGGCACTAGGAGAAAAGGGTTTACTTCACATTAAACAGCTTGTACTCCCATTCTTATGCTATACTTGTTCTATTTGGCATAGTAAGACCTTAAAAGCAGTTTTTCAGTTTAATGATAAATATATATACTTAATTTGCATGGGGATATCTGATCACAGGGATCCGGTTATTGATTGTGTCTCAAGCTTAGGTAGAAATGTAAACACCATTTGTATATGCTGAGTCTCCAGACATAGGCAGGGGTAGAAAGGGAGATACACAGACAACTCAAGAGCCTTCAGTTACCACCATGGAATTTATAGTGAGAAACAATTTCAGTGAATGAAGACAAGTCCGGTTGACTCAAATATTACCTCAGAAGAGGCAGGCGATTCAGCCCCAAAGCTGCACGCTAACTTCCTGAGGACAGCAGTCTGGAAATCCACTAGCTACTACTGCAGTGCCCTGACCATTCTCCTAAATGCAGACACAAGGAACCCTAAACATGAAACATGTTACCGCTGCAATGCTGCAAAATCTGTCACTCTGTAGCTCCTGATCTGAGGAAAGTGTTCGCTATTACAAACACCAATCAAGGAGGAAAGAGTCCCAGAAGTCCTCAAAGCAATTACAAAATCACTTTCAAAAACTGTCATATTCTAAGGTTTTGGTGTTAACCCTTAAGCAGTAACTTACTGTTGGTGCACGGCCTCTTCTCCCATCTAGCAAGACACTCTGAAGTTTTTCAATCAGCGGAAGAGCAAAAGAAATGGTTTTGCCTGTTCCTGTTCGAGCTTGAGCAATTACATCTTTGCCATCATATATGGGCTGGAAAGTCCTCACTTGCACAGGGAACAGGTATTTTACACCTTGAGCTGTAAGATAATCCAAAGAGGCTTCATTAGAAGGTGAACAAACAATGAGAAGCCCTCACATATAACTAGCCTGAATATGTAAGGCACATCATGTTAAATCCTGTACACAATAGGAGATGCAACATAGAAGAAAACCATGCATCTTTATTTTTACTCCTACTCTAGATCAAAAGGTGTCCCACCCCCAAACACACAGCTGAGTTACCCACAACGAAATACAGCTTTTTCTGGGATGTTTGGCATAAGACAACGGAAGGGGACTGGGGGGGGAGG